TCTGACTCGTAATAATTCAAAAGTTGCGATTGTTCAGATTTTTTTCTAAATGTTCAAAATATTTTATTGTTCATATTTTTTTTTACTAAAAGTTCAAAATTATAGGCGTGGTGCATTGCAATTGTTTAGATTTTTTTACTAAATGTTCAAAATTGTGATGTTCAGATTTTTTAACTAAATGTTCAAAATTCTTGATTGTTCAGATTTCTTTTACTAAATGTTCAAAAGTATAGGCATGATGCATTGCAATTGTTCGGATTTTTTAACTAAATGTTCAAAATTTGCGATGTTTTTACTACATGTTCAAAATTTGCAATTGTTCAGTTTTTTTTTACTGATTGTTCAAAAGTATACGCGTGGTGCACCTAAATAGGTGCACCATGGTGCATCTTAAAATTTGCGAAAACGCGGAATTGGGTGGAAGCTTTAAATTGGGTTCTTGCACAGAGATTCAATCATTGGGCTGTCAAGCATGTTGATGTGTTTAATGAGCCAGACACGGACATGCTGGATCAGTCAAGATCATACATACATGCAGCAGTTTTAGTACACATTTTTTAAATTTAGATGGTTTCCTATATATCTCTGTTAGCCATCTTATACTATAGATACACTACAGCAAGAATTACAACTTTTAGCAGGCATCCAGCGTTTTGTTTCCACCAAAGCAATTTAAGGTTCTTTTATAAGCCTATCTTAATTAGTAGTAACATCCAGTTAAGAGTAAAACAATAAAATTCAGTTCGCTTGCTCTTGTAATATGATGAATCTTTTGGGAGCAATTGCCAATTCAATGTGAAAGCATCTATGGATACCGGTAGTCACAGAAAGCACTATGGATACCGGTTGCCTGGAACACTTAACACTTTTTATATTATAAGAATTCATAGCAAAAGAAAGGATAAGTAACATGACCAGTACGTAACAATATGTAGAATGAGCTGACACAAAAACTTAACATGTTAAGGAGTCACCTGAGTGGCCTGAGAACTAGTAAAGGTAGCGATATCTTCAACATATTCACTAACAGGAATGCCAAAGCCCCACTGGCGATTCAGACTTCTAGCCTGGTTTGTTAGAAACTCAATTGTTTCACCAACCATTTACAGACATTTTGACTCCAACAAAGAGCAATGTTTTACCACCCTAACATGCAGACCCTGATGATGTAACACCAAATAATTCACAGAATTTATGAGTTCACGATTCAATTTGGTCATTGGATGCCTAAACAAAGATATCTATTTACTCTAATGACCAGAGCAGCAGCCATGGTACCAGCACTTGTAAATCCCTCTTGTACACATATTACTGTGTAGTTTTTTCTGAGCTGTAAAATGTTGCAGAAAACTGATTTATGTTCATCATACCGGTTTTTTCTTGATCCAGTGCTAACAGTTGGACTGACACGACTAGTGTTTACTTGCTCTAGGTCATTGTCATGACTAGAAAAGAAATGAAGAGGAAATTTATTTGTCTGAGAATAGAACTGGAAACTAACTTGAGCACCCAAATCTTCCATAGTAGCCTTGTGATTTCAATCTTTGAGCCGTGATCTTTAGGACAAAGGTCTCACAGTAGACTTATTGAAATGCCACAAGAATGGCATCAGCCAAAGGCGTAAAATCTATTCCAACTCAATTCACCGAACAAAGCCTTGGACAGCTGAAGTGGACTGTAAAACTAGCTTAGACACTTTCAGGTAATACTGAAATCAAGTTCGAGCATCTAATTGACTAATACTATAGATAATAATTCAGAAAGAAGAAAGTTGTAATAGACGACATGAATATGAAGTAAAATATATATAGAAAACGCGCACAAATGCCTGAGTATCACCTTCCAAGCTCAATCTCATTATTTTTGTTAAATTACAAGCTTGTCAGCCTTTAATATATCATGTGAAGACGGCATGGGCCGAGGCTGGCAGAACGTATGAAACATAAATAGGGCACATACTATGTACATAACGATTAACAAAAAAAAACTTGTTCCAACCAAAACATTCATCCAAAAACAATACAGAACAAGTTAACATCATATAAAAAAGATTTTTACAAGCGCGATGTATAACCAATTGCTTGTTGATTAACCAGATAGTATAGAATATTAACAATTCTAAACTAGTAATCTTCTTACTTAATATTGCTTAAAATCATCCAATGTACTAAAATTCAACATATTCAATTACAAAGGGTGTACACAAAATCGAAAGTACTATTGAGTAATTTGACAACACTCATCTACAAAAGAACAAAACCCAATTGAAATAGTTTGAGAATTGAGCAAAACCTAATCCGTTACAACTTTATAGTAACTGATTCAAAAATCAAGAAATCAAAATGTACTAATGGAATAGTAAGATTTCATTTACTGGAGCTAGCTTATCTAATCTGTTAGAAATTGATAGTAATTGATTCAAAATTGAAGAAATTAAAATGCACTAGTGTAATAGTGAGAATCATTTACTGGAGCCTATCCGCCTCGGCAGCAACTGCGGCAAGATCTTCATCGGAATACCCGTTGGAGGAACCGGAGGAAGCATCAACTAGAATCAGAAGAGTAATTTGGATTCTTGGAATTGAACAATTGATCTCTGTCACCGGCGATTTCTTCTGCAGTGAGCTCGGAAGCAAACAAAATCCTTCGACCCCTTCTCGACTCCTCGTGGCGGTCATGGATACACGCCACAGACCTCGGGGAAGTGATCTCGTGAACCCATATCTTAGTGTCCATTGGAAGCTCAACATCCTCCAAGAAAACAGAGAATTCAGAGTAGTTTGTAACGGTGACGATCGGGTAAGACACGAGTTTCTGCGCGAGCCTCTGACGTTCTTCGTTCAATTTGTGGAGCTGAGAGAGTAAGCCATAGTTTTTCGGGTTTTCCAGAACAGCGGCTTCAAGATTGGTGTTGCGAATAAGGCAATCGACATATTGCCGGAGAATCTCAGTAGATGGGTCAGGGGCCGGGAGTGGGTTCACCGTGGGCGGAGGATAATTGCGAGGTTGCGGAAGTTGTGGTGGTGGTGGTGGTGGAGCAGCCATTGTTGGAGGGAAATGAGGTTTTGAGAGGGAAAGCAGAGAAACTCAATTAAAAGCGTGAGGAGAGAGAATATTCAAATTTTGATTAAGATGAGAGAGAAACATTCCTTAAATATAAAGGGAATTTAATTTTTTTTTTTTTTTTTTTTTTTAAGAAACAATTATTATTATTTTTTAATAGAGGGAATTTGTCAATTTGATACGGAGTACTCCGTAATATTGTTAGGAACAAATCGAAATCCGTGATCCGTGTTTAATCTGGCTTTCATTTTTAATCCACCGTTCATTTTTAATCTTGTTACATTTTACTTGACTATCGACGGCAACAGATTAACTCACAATTTTATTGTATTAATTTTAGGATTTTTTACGAAAGTAAGCTTAATTGGCAAACAATTTACCAACGGAAATTTCACCATATACCACTGAGTTTAAGCATAATTCACCGTATACCACCAAAAACTTTCTAATACACCATATACCACTCAGTTATTGTATATTAACACAGAATACCCTTTTTGTTAATTGTCGTTAGTCTGTCGTTAACGCCGTTAGTAATTAAGGTTAATTATGCCACGTGGCTGTCACATATTGGCTCTTATTAATATTATCTAATTAATTAGTTAAATAAAGAATTAAAAAAAAAACAGCCACCACCTCCTCACTCCACCAACCCCGACACCCCCTTCCCCCACCAGCCCAGCTCCCCCTCCCTGCCGGCGGCCTTGCCCAGCCTCCTCCCTCGTCGGCGGCCTTGCCTAGTCTCCTCCCTCGCCGGCCTTCTAGAGCTCCCCCTACCCCTGCCATCTCCCCTTCCCGTCCTCCTCCCAAACCACCAACATCTCCCAGCCAACCACCACCCTATCCTAACATCCTCTGCTTGCACGAAATATGACTAGAACCCCCAGCCACCACCCTATCCCGCCCCCACCCACGCCGGCGCCCAGCCTTTCTCTCGCCAGCGCGTCGGCCTCCCTCTCCCCCTGAACCGACAACACTCAAAATCTGCAACCATACAACAACATCAATTGGACTTATCAGCATTCGACTTATCAGCATTTTTTTCAAACAATTTCGCTTCTAATTCGACCTTCTCTCTCTTCGTCAAGATTTGATGGGTGGTTTCTTTGCCGTCGATATTCCAATTGGGATTTGCAAGAGGGAAATTGAGGATTTTTTTAGGGTTAGAGAGATCGGGAATCGGGGAAGGGGAGTCCGGCGAGGAAATCGGGAATTGGGTTACAGGTGGGGGATGATTTTCGGGGAAGGGGAGTAGGAGTGGGATGGTCGCCGGCGTAGGGGGAAGGGGTCGAGAATGTCGCCGGCGGGGGGAAGGGGCCAGGGGAGGGCAGTCGCCGGCCATCTGGGAAGTGGCTGGGATCGCAATTGTTGCCGCCAGGGGGATCGATGAAAGTTTGAAGCTTTTTGATTGATTTTGGGGTTCGATTTTAATGGAGAAGAATAGAGAGAAGCTTCAATGGAAAGGGGAAATGGGGGGTCAATGGAGTCAACCCTATCAATGGCGCCAGTTAGATGTATAAGGGCATAATGGTAAAGACTCCCAAACGGCAGACTAACGGCAGTTAGCAAAAAGGGCATTTTGTGTTAATATACAATAACTGAGTGGTATATGGTGTAATAGAAAGTTTTTGGTGGTATACGGTGAATTATGCTTAAACTCAGTGGTATATGGTGAAATTTCCGATTTACCAATCTAGACGCGTGGCCAAACTATTTACGAAACTGAGCTTCTGACATAAAACGCTGCCTCGGTCAGCGTTTTACCTTTGGTTATTATTTTTTTTTATAAAATTTCGTATTATGTGAAATACAAATTTTTAAAAAAAATTGGAAATACAGTAAAACGCTGACTCAGTCAGTGTTTTTCTTGTATCCATAACAGAGAAAAACGCTGACTGAGTCAGCGTTTTACACCTAAGCATAAAACGCTGCCTCAGTCAGCGTTTTATCTGCTGGCTGAAGGCAGCAACAGCAGGCCCCCAACAGCAGCCAGTGCAGCCCCCAACAGCAGCCGATGTATACCCATGAAGCCAGCGTACTCCACGAAAGGCAGAATGCGGGGATCGATAACCCAATCGCCAAGGAACGCGACAGTGTAGTGCCTGCATGTCAGTATGCCCGCCTGTTACATATAAGCGATAACAAAATACAGAATTTCAAATCTCATACTTCAATCTAAAAATCCAACTGTTACAATCATTTGAAATGTAGAAATACAATCACCGTACTATTCTACTACATCACTCTAAATAACATAAAACATAAAAAATTAGTGCCCGGTCGATCTAGAGGGACACGATCTCTTGTTGTGACCCTGCTGGTGACAGAGGCCGCATTTGCTCGCGGGACGGTTGGTCTCATCCATTTCATTGCGTATGCGCCTTGACTTAGGGCGACCTTGTCCTCGTACCATGCTGTTGTCGGGAATGAGTTTAGGCCCTCCATTCTCTCTCCATGTCGTCTCACAAGGGATAGGCCAGAATTGGGGAGCGTATGTGTTTGCGTAGGCCTCTGATTGCAGTACCCGGTCTACCCATGGCCGCTCTGATATCGAATACTTCACACAAACTGCTAGAACATGAGAACATGGGAGGTGGAAGATCCGTGGTTTATTGCATGTGCACGTTCTTAACTGAAAGTTAACAGTATGTCTATGGCCTCCTTTTCTACCAATTCTATCTCCCCTCTTTGTTTCAACTTGATATATATGCAGTCGACGGTTATACGCTTCCACTTTGTGATATCTAGCCTTTGCAATGTTTTTCTCCATAATGGATGTGACTTTGGGGGAGTATGCAAGTCCCTGTTCAGATCTAGCCTGAGATAATTCCCTTCTATCAGTGAAATACTTATTGACTCTGTGGAATGTTAATTCAACAAGGGACATGATAGGTAGAAATCGAGCACCCTTCAACACATTGTTAAATGTTTCTGAGAAGTTCGTAGTACATATCCCATATCTGCGACCAGCATCGTGAAACAAAGACCACATAGGCAAGGGCACTTGGACAATATACTGTATGGCCTTGGTACACGCATGACCGATCAAACTCATATCAGCTACCAGTTTTCTTTCCCGGGTTTGACTGTTTGAGTGCTTCCATGAAGTGCGGGAGTCGGCCATAAGAACTCTCCCATTCTCCAAATACTTCAGCTATGGCTTTCTCCCTAGCATACCATGCTCTTCGATAAGTAACGTCGAACTGAAAATGCTTGGATATGAGTTCCTGTATAAATTCAACTTTCAAGCATGGATCTTTCTGCACAAAAGACTTCACAAAATCGAAAATTATGGATGAATCCAAGTGTGCATGATCTGTAGATAACACTTCAGTGACACAGGTGTCCCGGTGCGGGCCTTTGTATGTGACTATGGTAAAGCCGTCTGAGTGCTCACTTTTTTTGGTGCCTCGTAGCGACCAACCACAATTCTTCTTGCACCGCAGATGAAGGACCTTCTCATTCGAGGTCACTGTGGTGTAGAATTGGTTCCTTTGTATAGAATACTTCTTCACCATTTCCTGAAGCAGTTTCTTAGATTCAAAGAACATACCCTTCTCAAACTCCCCCCCGATCACAAATGTTGTATGACTACCTGATTCGGCCCAATATTGATCAACCTCATAATTCTCATTTACTTGACTTAACCAAGGAATAGGAGTTCTAACCATGGCCTCCCCATCTTCCATGTCTGTAGAATCAACATCCATGTTATCCAGAATTGGTTCCTCCTCTTCGCTCTCAGCCTCATCATTTGTTTCCCGGAGCGCATCATATAGAGACAACTTGTTATTCACCATATGTTGTAGATTTTCAAGATGATTCACCAATGGTTGAGACGGTGATGTATGATCATCATGCTGCGTAGGTGAATAACTTTGGAGTTGCATGGGAGAAGATATAACTGTGTTCGATGTCGAAGGCCCAGATTGGCCAAACATTGTCGTAGATGTTCCACCATATACAGGTGAAGCTATATGTGAACTCAACGACATCTGGAACCGATCCTCATGAAGCAGTCTGCTGAAGGACCCCATCCCATATTCAGTTGATGGAATGTCTTGTGAGGGCATTCGGAAGGACTCTGTGTAACCGGAAAAATAGGTAGCTTGTTGATCTGGTCAAGTACTTTGTTGCGTACACGTAGACACTATTTCTACATATATCTCATGTGGATAACCCCTCATTAAAACAGCGCTCCTCAAAGCTTTCAAATGTCTATCGTTAGAACAAGGTAACACTTGAACCGCATTATTAGTCTCAAACCTCATTTGAATGTTAAGTTGTACATTCATTGGGTTTAAGCCAATAATGCTATGAACCTCGTTCATCAGATCGTTGAAAGTCATGTCCGGTCCAAGTGGAAATGGTTCCATATTTCCACCACTATACTGGACATTCGGTCCATCAGACACAAATTCACCCCCCCCCCCATCGACATAACAAAGCTGCGTTTTGTGCAGCCATATTCTATACAACAACCAAAAACACATCTTAATTGCATGCAATCTCCACCAATTCGCACAAAAACAACCAAGATATTCACACTATAAACATAATTAACCAATATTGTTCCAATTCACATTACAACCACAACAAAGTACACAACGAACATATTCACACTATAACAACCAACATATTCTACATAACAAAATTTTCGTAATTAAACAACAATGTAGGCTACTTTATCAAACTAAAACAACAATTTCATCAACATTATCAACAATTTCATCAACATTTTCAACAATTTTATCAAACTTTTCCACAATTTCATCATAAACTTTCTTACTAAACTAACATCAATTTAGGGCTTTTATACTAGACAATTATCAAATTACAACAAACCAACTTAGAATTATCAACATAATTGTCAATTTACATCAAACTAACTTAGAATAAACAACAACATTATCAAATTAAAACAATGTAGTATATAATTATCAAACTAACCTAGGTTTTTAAATTTTAAAAACAAATAAGTGAGAAGTACTAACAATGTGATTATAAAGAAGAGGAGAGGCGCGGCGGCAGCAGGCAATAGGCGGCGGCGACGGCGGCAGGCAGCAGGCGGCGGCGACGACGGCAGAGCTTTGAGGAAGATAGGCTATTGCGTGAGGAAGAGTGAGTTTGAGTTTTTAGTTTTGAGGAAGAGCGAGTGCGCGAAAAATATACCAGGAAAAACCGCTGACTGAGGCAGCGGTTTTCTAGTATTAATGAAACGCTGCCTCAGTCGGCGTTTTAAGGGCTGTTACAGCCTGAGACAAAAACGCTGACTAAGGCAGCGTTTTTATGTATTTCCATATTTTTTTAAAAAAAAAATTATATTTCACTAAATAAGAAATTTTAACTAAATTAGAAAAAAAACACCTGTTAAAAGACCTAATTTTGTTTTTAACACCTTAAGATTTCGAAGTTTAATTATAACACCTGTTAAAAAATAAAAATTTTGCTTTCACCACCTAAATTGGAACAACGTTAGAGGATCTGTTAGCTGGGCCCACAATAACGGCTATTTTTTCCAAACTGCTTTATATAGTTACGACATCCTTCACTAATGTAGAATTGTTGAGCTGATTACACAAAATTGCTTCACATTTTGCGAATTCTGACTAACAAATTGGCGAAATTGTTTGATTTTACCATCATTGTTTGGGGGACGTAGATATCAAATCAGGTAATTGCGTCAATAGCACTTTAGAAACCCTAATTTATCTTTCAAAAATAAGGCGTAAATTAATCTATATGTTGTTGACTTAAATGCATAATTCAGGTCGTATCTGGCAATAGTCATGTAATTCGTAAATAGTTAGGGTTCATTGTGTGTTAATTGTGCTGTAATTTGCGAGAAAATGAAATTAGGGTTCATTGTAGAAATAATTTGGGGGTTTTGATTTGTAGGAGTGACTGTTTAATTCCCTTGGTTCAATTGTATTTTTTTCATAGTACGAATGGTTTTGCTTATTATGGATGGCAAATTGGTGCAGGAAATGTCTTCTACAAGTTTCTCACCTTCAAAGGAGAAGAAGTGCAAATGTGGTGTTCCCTTTGCAAAGCTTACCAGTTGGACAAGGGAGAACCCTAGTCGTAAGTTCAGAACATGCAAGTTCTACGATCCTGTAACTGAGAGCAGAGGTTGTAAAGCATTTGAATGGGTGGATGAACAAGATGGGACAGCCTGGAAAACAGAGGTGATCAACAATTTGTTGCTAGATAAGAAACTGTTGAAGGGGGAAATTAGTGATTACAAGAGGGAAGTTGATGATCTTGGTGGACAGTTGAGGTGTTTGCTGAATGAAGTGGACAGGCTGAAAATGAAATGCAAGGCTTTAAACTCTGACAGGAACAAGATGAACAGAGAGATGCATGGAAGGAATGCTAGATCAGATCACTCTGTTCTTAGTCTTGCTGTTGGGATTAGTTTGGTCATATTAGTGATCCTTCTTATTAGGGGGTTTGTAATGCATTAAGTATAACTTGTAATGCTAGTAATTGCATGAAACAGTAATATGGTAATGTAATGATTTATAAGTGGCAGTGAACCACTATTGCAAGCAAACTAATGTACACAATTATGAAAGCAAAGAATTAAGTAAGTACCTAAGTAGTTGATATTGCATTTAAGTTGTTGATCAAATTTGTTGTTGCAGTGCCTAACAAAATTGGCTGGTAAAGCCTTAAAGCAAAGTATTAATTTAACAAAACAGGATCCTTGTCCTATACTCAAAAGTAAAGCTACAAATATTGCAACTGATTGTTCAGAAAATACAACCAACAACTAAAGTTCAGAAAAACAATTCAAACATCATTGTGTCAGCCCTCCTTGTCTGGAAGTCAGCAGCTTAGCCCTCCTTGTCTGCACTCCAGTAGCATTGGGTTCAGGTTGGCTGGAAGAGGGGGTGGTGTGATGCTTGGCTTGTGGCTGCCCTTGTTGACTGTGTGAACCTTTCCTCTTACTCAATGGTTCACAGCCAGGTTGCTCTTGGGGAAAAGTCCTATTCCCAATGCTGTTTGGACCAGCCCCTATTGCACTCTGTTTATTAAACACAAATACCAATAAACAAGTATCAACATCCAATTTCATCACAAATTTTAAAAGAAAAGTTACAAATCCAACATCATACCTTCTTAGCAGCTTTAATCTCCCTCTTCTTCCTTTGCTCAACTACCCAAGGTGAATTTAAAGGAGGCCTTCCTGCAGTTCTCTGCTCAGTTGGTTCAGGTTCATGTGGGCCCTTGCAAGTCTTGGGATAGTGGCCAAATCCACCACAAATCCTACACTGACTTTTCCTCCTCTTTCTTCCCTGCTCCCCTCCTGTTGCAGATGTTCCCTCCCTAGGTTCCAGCTTCCTCTTCTTCTGTTTAGGTCTTCCAGGCTGCTGTTTGAATGCTGGTGGATGAGGCTCTCTCATGTTCACTCTCTCCCAATGCTTTGGGCCTGGCATAGGTTGAATTGCAGGCTCATATGCTGCTCTGTAAGTGTCCATAGTGTAATAGGGGTGGACAAACTGCTCAGCATCAACCCTCTGATCCATTATGCATGCAAATGCATGAATACATGGGATGCCTGTTAATTGCCAGTGATTGCAGGAACAAGACCAATTTGGCAAGTCAACTAGAACCTGGTCATCATTCAGCTGCACTTCATAAGTGTCATCCCTGGCAGCTTCAATTATGCAATTCCTAGCCACATAGCTCATCCTCTGAAATAGCTTATGCACATATGGAGTGATGTTGGTTGTGATTTCCTTGGAGTCCTCCCACTTCTCATTATTTCTCCTCATCATGTACCTCCTCATCCATTCCATTTGGGTGAGGATAGGTTTGTCTCTTGCATCTCTGATAACAGAGTTGAAAGTCTCACACATGTTGTTTAGTAACATGTTGGACCTGCAACTGTCACTGAATGCATGTCTGCACCAGTGATGAGTGGGGATGTTCTCCAAATAATTGTAAGCATCCTCATCAAGCTCCCTAATCTGTTGCATGGCTATCTGAAACTCAACCTACAACCACAACAGGAACATTATCATGAAAGAATAACATACACAACTGTTG